GAGTGACAATGGAACACATTTTGTAAATGATGTGATTGATAAGGTGGGACAAAATCTCAACATAAATCTAAAAAGACATTGTAGCTACCATCCACAAAGTGCAGGTTTAGTTGAAAGAAATAACGGCACTATTAAAGCTAAATTGAGGAAATGCATGGAGGAAACAAACAGACAATGGCCTGAATGCATAGACTTGGTACAGTTAAGCATGCATATAACACCTACTCAGGGTAGTGCATTGACACCATTTGAAATATTATATGGTAGGTCATACACACTTCCAGATTTACAGCCAAATAAGCAGTTCTCTCCTGATGATAATCCTACGTTGGCTGACTATATGAGAAAAACATTATTGACTAGAGCGTGTCAAGAAACAAATAATGTTCCGAGTCAACCATTTTGTGCACAGGAGCTGCCTGTTCGAGTTGGAGACTGGGTGTTTGTGAAAGTCATCAAACGAAAGTCCTGGTCCAGTCCACGGTGGGAAGGTCCGCATCAAGTGCTTCTGACGACACCCACTGCTGTGAAGATAGCAGAAAGGCCCACGTGGATTCACCTCTCACACTGCAAAAAGAGAAATCTGAGAGATTTTGTGTCAACCACAGCGGAGGGGAAGGCTGACCTACAAAGGGGGGCAGATGTGCTCGTCTCAACAGTCAGTGAAGCAGGGAGATCCTCCAGTGGTTTAATGCACAAGAAACACAGTTTGTACAACTTGATGATGTGCTAGTAACCTCTCATCTTGTGATATTGGTGAATTGGACTGTTTCAAAAAGGACTGTTTACAAGATGGTCTTCAAAGTATTCTCCACTCGACATGGACTTCGATGCAGTAGTGGTCTAATAATGCTGATTACATTGATAGTTATTGTGGTTCCATCACTGCTCTGGTGGGGGAGTCAACAATATAACAATGTCAAGCGTACAGCTAGAGCAGAAATAGATGTAGATCACTATAAAGACAACTACTGGTATCGCATGGCTGAAATAACGGCTCAGGCAAAATATGTCAGATTGTTATGTTTGTGCATTTGTTCCTCATCATTCAAATTCAAATCCTTATATAACACCACATCCAGTCTCAGCTTTAACAACTATATGCACTATGGCTTTTTATACCTTACATTCAATTGGCATGAACTACTCTAAATATGTGGAATGGCTGCCAAATTGCACTACTCTTTCAATTCAAAAGGTAGCAGATTGGAGAGTTCCATTGAACTTTCTTTAAGTACAAATATGACTAATGAGAAAGGTGTGACTGTGGCTCGATTTCCAGCCAATTCTCCTCTGTGTCTGAGTAGGAAATGCAATGTGCCGGGGCCCTGGGAGGATGCAAACCAATATGTAGGAACATCCACCTGTGATGATGTTCTGCCTATTGCCACATATAACCAACAAACCTCTGAGATACATCACAGATTATACTTCACTACTACTCCGACCGCACGGGAGTTCCCAGTGATTAATTTCACTAAAGTGGGTGAGGTCAGTGGAGTGGCCAACTGGCACTCACACCCAGCTTTTTTGGTGGAGGTCCCGGGGTTTTGGGGCTATCCATGCCCGTCAAACCAGGTGTGGGTTTGTGGAGATAAAGTGTATCTGTGGCTTCCAGAGAGATGGTGTGGAACTTGTCATCTGGCCACCCTAGGTCCGGCCTCCTATATCATTTCAAGTGATAACTTGACACAGCACTTGGGCCAGAGGCAGAAAAGGGCTGCTGCCACAGCGGCCAGAAGCCCACCTTTAATCTCAGATGTAAGAGGAGTGTTCATGACAGCCCTTCCCATGTATGGAGTTGCATATTTAAGTCATAGGATGAATGATATTGCATGGAATTTGGAGAATTTGACTAATATTGTCATGGACCTCACTGAACAAATCAGGGGAGATTCAGAGAAAGAGGCTATGCGTCAAATGATCATGCAGAATCGAGTGGCATTAGATTTTGTTTTATCTGAAACTGGTGGTGTGTGTCAGTTAATTAAGGATCATTGTTGTACGTTCATTCCATCATCCAACTCAAATTATTCACTAATTTTGGATCGATTAAAAAGTCTTAAAACTGAGATGCTAAGTGAGCGAGACAATGACAACATGAATTGGGACTTATTGTCATGGTTTTCTACTGGAGCATGGTGGCAACTGATATTGAAAATAGCGACACCTGCAATAATGATTTTGGTTTTATTTTGCATATTTGTCACTTGTTTGTTGCCATGTGCTAAGTCTTTAACCAACAGGATGATAAACACTGCAGTTGCAGACACATTGTTTTCGGATCAATGTCAAGCGTTGTTAGCTCACACAAATGTAAATGATGATTTTGATATTTCTGTGTAAGTTTGTTATGAAGGTATTGCAGAAAACTGACAAGAGATGTAATACTGGATGTTAAAACTTTACATTTATATATTATGAATAGGGGGGAATTATGTCAATGGAGTATGTTATTGTGTTATTATCATATTAATAAATGTAACGTTTAGTCTAGTGTGGATCTAAAAACTAGTAGTATTGATCCAGGCAGGAGACAAGAATGTGCGGAGTCAAACCCCCAGCTATTATACACAGGAAGTTAAATTAAGAGCGCAGAAAACATCTGTTATAGCCTCAGGCTTACTTACACAGGGGCTATTTGTGTGTTTTGGAGAAAGGAGCTATTGTGTTCACCTAAGGATGGTGAGACATGTGTTTTCAATTATCAGGTCATGTGACTGTGTGCTTTTCATCGATAGCCTGTCTTGAAACAGGGTCTTTTGCTTTGGGTGTGCCAGGGAGCAGGGCCCAGACTGATCAAGCAGTCTGCCACTTGTCTGTATCTTATATTCTGTCTTTTATATATTAAACCTTTTTTATATATCTAAGCAGAATTTGTGGTCCATTTTTCATCGAAGGAGAAACCGTGGCTGAACCAGCGTTAACAAAACTCTTTTTCAGTATACTGACAGAAAGACACTTGAGGACGCTCTTCAAACTGAAGTCTATAGCTCTTTGAAGGAAAGCCATCCCTCTTATCCCACAGAGGCAGACTTATAATCAAAGAATCTGAGGTTAAGGACTTCTACTATTGCACACAATGTAAGAGTGAGTTCAGCTCTGTCTAAGGGCTTCTTAAATGTGACATCATCACAGCCGGTTTCAGGCCAATGCTTCTGGACACGAACCAACTCTGGCTTACGATCTCACACTAAATCATATCAGTGTTCCTGCTTTTTACACATTTGTTTGCGCTAAACTAACTTTTTTCAATATACATTCTTTGACTGGTTTGTGGTCATTTTAGAAGGACTTTTAAACCACTACTCATAAACTGATCATCAATCAGCTGTGTCTGTACACAAACAAGTTATATTGGGGTCTTCTGTAATCCGTGGGCGGCACGGTGGCTGAGTGGATAGCACTCTCGCCTCTCAGCAAGAAGGTCCTGGGTTCGAATCCCGGTCGGACCAGGGCCTTTCTGAGTGGAGTTTGCATGTTCTCCCCGTGTCTGCGTAGGTTTCCTCCGGGTACTCCGGTTTCCCCTACCAATAAAAAATATGTCCAATAGTTCTGGCATGCGCTTCCTGTTCAGCGACCCCGCTCCCATCTCTGTGTGGAGTGAGAGACAAATGCCCAAAAATTAACAATTGTAAACCGCTTTGAGACTCAGATCTGCAGTGAAAAGGCGGTATATAAATAAAGATTACTTACTTACTTACTACTTCTGTCTGTGGGCGTTTGAGCCAGCTCTGACGCTGGTTGAGTTGTCGCATCACAGGTCACATGGGAGTGTTTTGAACTGTAAATCGTGTTGTTTGTTTGAATAGCACTTTATGAATGGAGTTTGATTTGTTTCAGGAGTGCATATTGCAGAGCCATATGAGCTACAGTGACAAACGTATAGAGTGGTACATTAGAAGTCATGCACTTAACATCCCCAACTCTGCAGCCTGAGTGCGAGGCTAATGAATCATCCCGGCAAATGTTGTGTTTTACAAAGTGCCATTCCAAACAAACTCCATTCGTCCCAATAATGAGCAAGTTCATATGATGATGACAGCAGGATTGTATTCATCAAGTGAACATCACTCAGCCAGTTCATCATGGAGACGAAGAGCAGAGAGGCAGCGAAACAATAATGTTCCAGGCGCCAAATTGTGTTTGCTGATAGCACAACTGCTGGCTGGCTGTTGATGGATATTATTTTCCATGCTCTTCCCCAGGCCCGAGTCAAGCAGTGTCTTTTGAAATGAACAATAGTGTGATGCTGTGATGTTGCTCTTAAACTAGTTCATGTTGTTATCATTCATCATGTGTCCGTGGTGCAGAGAGCTACACTCGCTGTGCTGGCTACACAAATGCAGCCTCACTGTTCAGCACCACGGACAGGGACCGGTGCTACTTTAGACACATTCAGACACACATCACATACAAACTTCTCACTAAAAACAGTTAAAACATGACTATATAAAAGAGATCTGGTCTACTTCACTTTAACTGTTTACCAAACACAGTTGTTTTTATTATGGTTCATATCAAAAGAAAGTAAGAGTAATGATTCTTGGGAATGTACTCACCAGCATATGTGTGCCCGTCCCAGGTAGTGACGGTCAAATGACGCTTCATGAGCCACACAGACATTTACTCCACCACTCCATCTAGTGGTCAAAGAAAAGAAAATAACTAAAGCAATTCCGTTTCACACAAGAAAGTGTTTTATTGAGAAAACCCCCTCATAATTCATTTCTCCAGAATGAATGAGTGTGTGGTTGTGAGCGCAACTGTGGGACGACGGATGGAATTTAGCCTAAGGCTACAATTCGGAGTGGTGTGTTCATTAACATGCACTGTCCCAACCAAAAGAGCAATAAACCAAATCAATATTAACTTGGTTTGGTTTGCCAAAACAAGAATAAAATCACACTGCACAGGATAGAAACGCACTAACTTGTGCACCACAGTTCTCTGAGAGTTAAGTTCCAAATCTCACTTACAGTACCTTAAAAGAGACATGGATGGTTGGGGGTAAGACAAACCTGGATAATTGAAACTGAGAAAATTGTCAAATCCAGGTGTTCCAATCCCAGCACATTTTATCTTCAAGAGGTTGGCGGGGAATTTCTGGGTTAGGGTTAGGGTTAAAATCTTGACTAAAACTGAAGATTTATTTTCAAAAATAGCATTGTGATGACTTGATACACACAACCGGAAAACACTGTCAATCAATGAAAGAGCAGTTTAGATTCAGAAACATAAATATTTGTTTTAGAATGTGCAGTATGGTTGTTTACTACAGAAACTATGTTAAAGTTGTTTCATTCCTGGATGCTAAATAAGACGTGCGTTCAGGCCCACATCCTTTTAAAAGCTTTAGAAATAGCTGTTTGACAGGATGTAAATCTTTAACGCTCACATTACACCTGCATCTGATCTCAGCGCAGACTCCACTGCTTCTATCTCGCTCACAGGGAAACTTTCTGTATTTGATCAGACGGGAAGTTACAAATCCATCCCATAAACATGACAGTTCTTTTTACTGTCATGTTTATGGGATGCTGTAGACTATTATATGAATATATATTTATGAGATCAGTCTCAGTTTCACTGCTAAAATATTCTACAGTAATCTTTGACCACCTCTGTCCTGAATATCCCTGTGAGCTGCAATTCTGGAGACCATGGATTCAGTTTAGAAATGACAAAAAGACTACAGTGAATGTTGCGGATTGTCTTCGTCAAATCCAACTTCAATATTGTGGTTTATTATTGTTATTTAATGTTTTACTTGGTTCCACTCGCTCACGTGTGTGTCATGCGTGTCATGTGTGTGCTGTAGTATGATCGAAAGGGGTTTAAACCAAATAAGCCCTTTTGAAACAATATGTTTATTTTTGTATTCTGTTTATTGTATGTACCTAATTTTGAATAAAATAATGAATGACTGACAAGTGAAGTCACAAAAAACAAAAAAGTCAGACTGCAAGACCAAATGTATTTGTGTTTATGATATGTTGTCAGACCTAAAATAAAACCCCAAAATGTGACTTGATTTGAGGAACCTAAGGTCTCTTAGGTTTGGTGTTTTCTGAACATTGGACTTTTGTCCTGAAAAGTCCTTACATGAGTGTTTTCTTTTTGGTGTCTCCTTTTTCTGCAATTTATATTTTTTGATCACAATAAAAAATAAAGTGATTTTATGACAAATAAAGGTCTCTTTTGTCATCTTTTCTCACCTCAACAACTACATTAAAAATATACATTATTTAATATGTGCTGTGAAATAATTGTTTTTAAAAAACAATTTTGTCCGGGGCGACAGTGGCTCAGTTGGTAGAGCATTGGCCCTAGAGTCTGGAGATTGTGGGTTCAAGTCCACCACAAGACCTACTTCACGACTCCCATTGATGACTGCTGTCGTTGTGTCCTTGGGCTTACGCCACTTTGCCTGAAGCCCCCACTGAATAAACAAAGCTCCTGTGGACTCACCACCTGCAGGAGGGTCAGTGAGGGGCTGGTGCTCTGTGTACTGGGTGCAGCTCTGACTGCCACCCCCGACCCAGAAATGGATTAAGGGGAAGAAAATGGATGAATGGAAAACAATTTCATATTTGTTTTCCAAGAAGACACAACCAGAAAATATATATATGAAAATTTGTTCCAAAGACAAAAGAAATTCAAACAATTTTGTCACTTTAGAGCAGTGGTCTCAAACACAGGCCCGTGGGCCATTTGCAGCACGCAAAAGGTGCTTTGTGGCCCCCTGCTGGACATCGTACTTTAATGTCGGTGCAACCCCTACGGAGTCTGTGCAGATATGGGATGTTACGCATCATTTTAAAGCTAATTTTATAACCAAAACAACCATGCAAAAATGCAAAGCAAACATTATTAAACCATGTCCAGGATACAAAACTTTTGTTTCAATCCCTGCAAATTAACTCATTTTGTTCATAGAAAAAAGTTTATCAAACTCATTATTATTTATGTAATTATTTGGTCAAAAAACCTTCCAAATTGTATAAAGTCCCAGATACAAAAAATGATCTGTAAAACTTACCCAGACCCGAGCTCTTGCGATCTCATTGTACAGCACTCCTCTTTCAAACGTATTGGGGATTTCAAAATATTTATTTCAAAATAAACCACCATCACTGCTTTTTCACTCCAGAGAAGGAAACGACACAGGCATCTTGTCATCTTTTAACATAACAGACATAACATTCTGTATCACTTTGACTTTTGCTCAGAGATGACAAACTGGTAAACTTGGCTTAAAACTCTGACACCATTACTCTCTCCACACTATGACAAATAAGGGAAAGAGGAGCTTGTTGTGCTGGTGTGTTTGTCTTGTTTGGAAAAGGCTGGGTCTCGGCAGGTGGGGCTGATGACTGATGATACGTCTAGCCTCTGCAGATCCAGCCAGAAAACAGCGGCGTTTAGCAGTGGATTGATGTCCAGGACGTAGCAGAGTCAAGGAAAAGCATTCAAACTGCAATCCACGCCACATTTGAAAGCTCCAGTATGCAACTTTATTGCAGAAAGATAGACTCGATGATGTAACATCCAAAGTATAAAGATTGCATCTCCATGAACTCATCCTGTTTGTTTTGGCTCCAATATGATATAGCAATATGGCATAAAAGACAAATATACAAATATTCCATTGTGTGGTTTTAACGTCTCATTTCAATTGGCTTCTACCTCCTCCAGAAAACTTTGTTCTGTTTTGCATTGTTTTTAAGGCATGTATTTCTCAGCAGCTCTCTGCATGAATCACCATACTTTATTGCAAAATGTCAGTAATATTTTTCTATTTGTATCTTATCACACATGGTTGCAATGAGGGTAAGCAGACTGGAGAAATTGCCAAAGCAGTTATGAATGGGGAAGATGTTGCAGGATGGAGCAAATGCAGTGGACAAACTTCTCTACGGAGAAAATAGAGTGTACCTATGTAACCTATTCACAAAGCAGAGGAATTTGTAAATGAATGAGGTTACAATTATGGATTTATTGTATAGGGACACTGTATTTTAATCAAGGACATTACAGTATAAACATGCCAGATTCTGGCCTCTGTTCCAGCTGCGTGTGAAAGCTCAGAGTCAGACGGACAGACACAGCAGCAGATGCAGACATGGTTTAGACATGATGAATCATCATCAGACAGGAATATGTCCCTGTTTATATCTATCAACTGATTATTTATGTACTTGTCATGTGCACACTGGGGACTTTTGCAAATGTATTTCAATGTGGTTTTACAATTAAAGACCACATTGGAAATAATAGTTTAAGAAGTAAATACTTTACTGTGCCATGTTCTGTCTGTAGTGCTAGCCTGTAGTGTGTGAAATGTGTGAAGTTCTACCTTTTATGTCTCAGGTCCCAGCTCCTCTGGTCCCAGCTCCCCTGGTCCCAGCTCCCCTGGTCCCAGCTCCACTGGTCCCAGCTCCACTGGTCACAGCTCCCCTGGTCCCAGCTCCACTGGTCACAGCTCCCCTGGTCCCAGCTCCTCTGGTCCAAGCTCCCCTGGTCACAGCTCCACTGGTCCCAGCTCCTCTGGTCCAAGCTCCCCTGGTCCCAGCTCCCCTGGTCCCAGCTCCTCTGGTCCAAGCTCCCCTGGTCCCAGCTCCCCTGGTCCCAGCTCCCCTGGTCCCAGCTCCTCTGGTCCAAGCTCCCCTGGTCCCAGCTCCACTGGTCACAGCTCCTCTGGTCCCAGCTCCTCTGGTCCCAGCTCCTCTGGTCCCAGCTCCACTAGTGCTTTCATTCACGTAGATGTTACGTACAAGTAACGTAGCAGTACAAATAAAGGTTATCTTATCTGTCCATGTTCAGACCAGCTCCACACCTGTTTTGGTCCTGGTCTAGTCCGGATCCTAGTGCAGTTCTGGGCATTTATTGTTCCAATGAACGTGAGCACTGCTCTTTCCCTGAGATGCTGTTTGTGCTGTAAGTACAGAACAGGATTCCACATCCTCCGTCATCACTGCGTCCTGACCATAGTCTGTAAATGCTCTGACCGCTGGAGCGACTGCAGCTGCTTTGTAGCAAATAACAGCGGTTCCCACCACTCCAATACTTCATTATTTCCAGTGTTTATCCAGTATTTCCCCTCATGGTGGAGAGATAAGATAAGATAAAGATAAGATAAGTGTTAAAGGCAGGAGGCTGGCCCAAGTCAGGCCACATCAGGTTATCTTCATCTTACATACAGTACATGTATTTTATTTGATTTATTATTATAATAAACAAATACAGTACATATATACACTGTGTTGTCATTTCTCTTTCCATTCAAACAACCATTTACAGAAAAATATGGCATCATTTTTAGAGCCAATCAAAAGATGTAAGATGTTGTGCCCTTATGTATTACATCTGTAAGATGTAAGGGCACAAAATGTTTTCTTCTGCTTAAGAAGAAGGGCCTGGCAGAAAACAATGGAAAAGCTGTAAGCCAAAATCCAAATCAAATATGATTTAGTCCGTATTCACAAAGTCTGCTCACATTTGGTTCCTCGAGCCTCACAGAGGTTACTGTCATGTGATAACAAACCATTCATGACTGCGGCTCAACACATCTGCACTGAGGGGAAACATACGGCGCTTTATACTATGGGAAATCTCTTGAGTTAAAAGCTTATTACGTTAAATGAATCCTTACATTGAAGTTATGTATTATATTTTAAAAATAGTTTGTGTGGAAGCTCTCCCACTCTCACTACTTAACACTGTAATTAAATGAATAAATAACAATCATGGACAAATGAACTTATTTGAAGAACAGAGTCACGTTAATTAGAACTGATATGAATTATCCAACTACAGATGCCACAATTAATTTCACATTACACTGAGGCTTTTTCATTTTCTTCCCACGACACACGCCTCAATAAATCAAAGTCGAGCGAGAGAGAAGAAGAATAAAACACCAGGCAGAACAAAAGGATACATTATGTCCAATCATTTCTCTGCTGCCAACAAGACATCTGCAATTCAAATCTGTTCAAATGGTGCCTGTAAAGTGCTGCATTCTACCTTCGAATCTATGTCAAAAGATCCAGAGAGACACATCAAGGCATCCTCACTTCTTCATTTGTCAAGCATTTACTGTGTACAATCTGTATTCCACAATCAAACTGTTCGTCCGTCTGGCCATTTACAAAGAGCAAGTGGAAAGCATTCAGGACTTTTGGACCATTTTTCCAAAGGTCAATTTGTTTTAATATGTACATACTTTTGATGTGGTGCTTTTTCAAAATTCAAAACACGTCCAAAACAAAGCAAAGCATACAATTTGTGTGATACAGTCAAATGAGAATTCATACTGAATTCACTTGGACCATGTCAAACATAAGAGGTTGATATAAGGGACGTTATACATCATTTTAAATCAGATTTTCACCACTTTTACTCTAAACACTGAACTCAAATAAATAGTTATAGTTTAATCAAACTGTAGGATCAGATATCATTCAGCAATACTCAGCCTTTACCTTATGTCCAGTTTTGTTCAGAAATATCTACCAGCGGCTGTGGCAAACGGCGGCGCCACAACGTGATCATATCCAAGATCAAACACGCACAGAACTATTCTCTGCTTGTAGTGTGCGTGTCTTTGCGTAACCAGTGCTCACACAAAATACAGCGCAGAAGCTGGACTACAGAGCATCAGTCTCCTCCGAAGCGCACTCGCTAAATTAAAGCTGGGGGACCTAATTTTCCACTACCAGTTCATGTTGGTTGTGCCCAAAAGTGATGGTGTGAGCAAATCAAACAGATTTAATGACATTCTGCATTTCAGACTGTTTTGAAATGTCCCTTATCTGTAACAAACAATGGTTTTGGTCTGAGTCTAAACAGAAAGACAGAATGTTTTATATGGATTTATTGTTATAACAAACAAATACAGTACATTTGTTCACTATGTTGTCAATTAATTACGATTAATTCATTTTTAAGCTGATATTAACTAGATTTAAAAATGTAATCGTTTGACAGCCCTAAAAAAATACTTTGGCTCCCAAGACTTAGACAAATTATTTTTTAGTTAAATATGCATTTCAGTCTCAGGTGAAAGAAATGTTTTCAATCACATACATTTCTTCCTCAATGTCTCCATTGATTCAGTGACAAATGGGTTGGATTTTTGACCAAAATTACATTAATTAATACAAATAAAAGTTCTCCCATTGACTATCACCTAAAAACTTGGTGTGTGAATCATTAGTAAGAGAAAACATTTTCCATTTCAGGTACAATATTTTTCCAAAAGTTTTTAATTTTTACACACCTCCATAAAGCATGAGAATGATTGGCATTCCAACTGCCACATAGTCGCCAGCGCTGTGGGGGAGCTGTTGCATAGTCCAATTTAATTTGATGATTGAGGGTTAAAAAATATATATATATATACTCCAGAAAGAGCAGCCGCGGAGCAGCGTATCTGTTCTGTTCCACTCTGGGCTGGTTCTTAACGCTTACGTTTTCACCCCCCTGAAACACGTCTTCATGTAAACAGGAGGCCAAACCAATATCTAACTCCAGCGTTTTACAGTCGTAGCGTCTCCACAGAAATGGGGCCACAGTTCCCATTTATCCTGCAGGAATTTCATTGTTTTGCTTTGGTGTTTTTTTATTTTTTTATTTGTTAGTGAGGCAAAAGCAGGATTCCTTGCCTAGCGATGCAGATTTGTTTGATGATGAACATGGGGTATCTTGAACTTTTCTTGAGAATAATAATGCATCGGTTTCATACAGCGCTTTTTTGGACACTCAAAGACGCTTTACATGTCATTATTAATTCACTCCATACACAGTGTTGATAACTACTATGGTCACAACTGCCCTGGGGCACACTGACAGAAGCGAGGCAACCAGTATGTGCCATCGGCCGCTCCGACCACCACCAACCATTCACACACACACCAGACCCATTCTAGGCAATGGGGGTGAAGTGTCTTGCCTAAGGACACAACGGCAGTTTGGCACTTTACAGCCGCAGCAGAGAGGCCAACTTGACCGTGATTGGTTAAAGATGCAGTCAGTGATATTTTCCAGACGCATTTTTTTAAATATAGTGGGGAAAACGTCCCTAAACCCTAAAAGTAGTCAAGTTATCATGTGTTTTCAAATAGTAATGAAATTAACCAGATGCCTATAGTCTCCAAAAATTAATAAAACATATTTTGCAGCGGACCGATGAAAATAAACCAATGGTATTCGTTCATCCCCAACGAACCAATAGGATGCGTTTACCCTTCACCCTCTTTCTGTTTATGGCGAGTGCGCACACCGGAGTTATCGGATTTTCTAAAACCTCAAATGGGTGAACAAGGGGAGGGGGGAGTGGTTTTAAGTTGGTGCTACGGCTAAGCTAGCAAAATCGGTTACTGCATCTTTCATACCAAAGGTTTGTTATCATTTACTGCACTGCTGACTCTGAAGGCCTAACGGCAGATTCTGGACCCTGGCCACGCATGATGCTGAACAATATGGATAAAAACTCTACCTGGAGATGAAGACAACTATGAAATGAAAAATATCTTGATAAATATTTGTGTAAAATGAATACTGTACATTCCTGATTATGTTTAGGTCAGCAGAGAAGGCCTTGCTGTCCTTGAGGGTCCGCCACCGCTAAAGTGTGAGAATCAAATATGTGACTGTGGAATAGGTCATACCACTAATTAACAGTAGCTAATATACCCTTTGTGCAATAACCTGCGAGTCAAAAAAGTGATTCTTTAACTGTCAATGTTCATATTGTAAAGTAATAATCTTGTGTCAACACCTGTTTGTCAAAACCCTGCAACTCATGCCAAGCCCATTAACTCCTGGCAACATACCGTTCTTTGTCTTTTCCAGAGTTGCCGTGGAAACAAAACTTATGGCAGATAGTTTGTCAGTTAGTGAAAGTGAAGTAATTGATGCATTATATGCTAATAAGAAATAACAGTGTGTGTAGGATGATGTGCGAGTGGCCCGGTGGCTCGGCATACCAATCAGATGCAGATGAGCTGAAGCTGTCTCTTTCCTCGCAGACCTTTGATGATGAATGCCAGGCGCCGCAGCGCTGATGGAAACGTCTGCTGCTTGCTCAGCCGACCAGCAAAGACAACCTCAACCAGCGGAATATTAAAACCATTATATCAGTGAAGGTACAATTAGAGGATGTGCAGATGAAGACTCTGTGATATAGAAAATGTGGTGATTATTCAAAAGAAAGAACTTTCCTTAAATGAGACGTGTTTAAAACCACTGCTGCTGATGCTTCACTCGCAGCTCATTCTGTTCAAGTCTTGTATAACTAACTGTGTCTTAGGATTAACCCGACTGTTCCTCTTGAGCGGGGTCTCAAACCTTTCTCCCTGGGGGGATTTTAACTATACAACATAGCACAAACATGTAACTCTGGTCCTTTTGTCTAGTTCCTCTCTCCGTCCTCCAATAGTGTGATGTCATTGCACTATGACAGAGCAGGTTTTTGCCTTTACAAAAACAAAAGTATTGTCCACAAATTAGATTTAGCAATTGTTACGGTGGAATGTCGTCATGACCACATGGCTATGTTTGCAGCCATCCATCCATTTTCTTCCGCGTCATTCGTTGCCGGGTCGCGGGGGCAGCAGTCTAAGCAGAGACGCCCAGACGACCAGCTCATCCGGGGGACCCCAAGGCGTTCCCAGGCCAGCTGAGAGACATAGTCCTTCCAGCGTGTCCTGGGTCTTCCCCGGGGTCGCCTCCCAGTGGGACATGCCCAGAACACTGGTTGCAGCCAGTCTTTTCAAAT